GTGTGTGTGAATGCATGTGACTGAGTGTAACTGTGTGTGCATGAGTGTGTGCCTGTGTGTGTGAATACATGTGACTGAGTGTAACTGTGTGTGCATGTGTGTGATTGTATGTGTGTGTGTGTGTGTATGCACACAAGCTCTTGAGGGCCAGAGGTCGACTTCAAGTGTCTCTTCCTTTATGGCCCTCCATCTTAGTTTTTGAGACAGGGTCTCTCACTAAACCTAGCACTCACTCTGGCTACACTGGGAAGCCCCCTGTCTCCATTCCCCTTTTCCCCTGAACTGGAGTTAAAGCCCCAGGATGCTGTGCCTAGCTTTTATGTGAGTTCTTGGGATCCGAACTCAGATCTTTATGTTTTCACAGCAAACATTTTACCCTCTGACCTATCATTCCAGCCCCTGAGTTTTATGTTTTGAGACAATCTCACTCTACTTGAGACTGACCTGGAACTAATAGCAATCCTCCTGCTTCAGTCTCCCAAGTGCTAAAGTGACAGGTGTGTGCTGACACACTTGGCTTTTATTGTTTGCTGGAGGAGGGCGTTAAGACAACTTCTTATGTAGCCCAGGCTGGCCTCTAAATTCTTTGTATCCAAAGATAACTCCAAACCCTCCTGCCTCCTAACTGCCTGTGTAGCAGGCTTGTTCAGCCACACCTAGATAAACGTGGTTTTGGTGCTTGCATCTTTATGTAGTACAGACTAGCCTTAAGTGTTTATCCTCCTGTCTCAGCCTCCTAGGTGCCAGGATCATAATGTGTGCGACCAGGCCCTGTTAACTAACTAGCTCATTTTGATATCACAGGCTCTCTTGGCAGTAGGAGTCTCCCAGAGTCACAGATGTGGTCCCCATCGCTGATATCATCCAGTGTCCCAAGCATCGACGGTACTCCTGGCCTGAAGCCAGGAGCAGCAGCCGAGGCCCCCAGTGTGAAGTCAACCACCCAGCTGCCCTGGTTGCCCTCAGAACCCGCTGTTCCCTCCTCCAGTCCCTCAGAGGTCCTAAGTGCTGTCTCCCTCGGGGCATCCCCTGGTGATGGTTCCCCAGACTTCCCCATTGTAGCCATGCTTCGAGCCCCCAAACTGTGGCTTCTGCCACGCTCCACACTTGTCCCCAATGTGACCCCAATCCCACTCTCCCCAGCTTCTCCACTCCCCTCTTGGGGCCCAGAAGAACAGACTGTCAGGCCTGTCAGCCTTGGAGCAGAAGACCTCAAAATCCCACTTCAGACCACCATGGCTGCCTCAGTTGAAGTCAGCCCCAGATCCCCTGATGCAGATTCTGTAGAAACCAAGGGGGTCAGCTCCAAGCAGGCTACAAAGCATCCCATCTCTGGCCCATGGACTTCTTTGGACTCCAGTAATGTGACAATGGATCCTGTCCCGTCTGATGCTGGCATCCTAGGGACTGGTTCCGGGGTCTTGGACGTATCAGGGAGCCCCACATCAGGTGGTCAGGCCACTCTGGACAAGGTGCTGGTCACTTGGCTACCACTGCCTGACCAAGGCCTGGACCCTGACTCCCCGTCCACACCCACGGAAGCCCATGGGGTCACCATGAGTGTAGAACCTACACTGGCTTTGGAGGGAGGTGCCACTGAGGGCCCTGTGGAGGCCACCATGGAGGCCACCATGGAGGCCGTCCCCAGCACTGCTGATGCCACTTGGGGGTCTGAAACCAAAAATTCCATTTCTAGCACCCCCATGGCTGTGACCGTGGCTGGGGCCCAGGGCATGCCCACAGTCACCTCTACAAGTGCCGAAGGCCACCCAGAGCCAGAGGGGCAGATGGTGGCTCAGGAGTCACTGGAGCCTCTCAGCAGTCTGCCTTCGCATTCCTGGCCATCCCTGGCCTCCAGCATGGACGAAGTGGCCTCAGTTTCTTCAGGGGAACCCACAGGGCTGTGGGACACCCCCAGCACTCTGATACCTATGTCCTTGGGCTTGGATGAATCAGACCTGAATGTTGTGGCTGAGAGTCCAGGCTTGGAGGACTTCTGGGAAGAGGTGGCCAGCGGGCAAGAAGGTAAGTTCTGGATTCTCCATCTATCCTAGTTGGTCAGGACCTGGGGACTGGAGGCTGGGGTTTCCCTGAGTAGAGGAAATGCCCTGGGAGGACTGGAATTTTCTAACAAAGGGTGATGCTGGAGATCAGAGGTCAGGAAGTAGGACACATAGAACCTTTCTGTGTTGTGCTATTATTGTTTGGACAGGTTTTCTCTGTGTAGCCCTGGCTGTCCAGAACTCACTCTGTAGACCAGGCTGGTCTTGAACTCACAGAGATCCGCCTGTGGTATACACCACTTTGCCTGGTTAACGTTGAAAACATTTAGCACTTAAAGCATGTGGTCATTGATTAAAGCATGGGCCCCCTGAGGTGCCAAGTTGGATTTGGAAAGTTCTCTTTTCAGATGTCCAGATCACTTTGAAAGGTATAGGTCAGTGTGATGCAGGGGGCTGGGCTTCAGTGATTTCCATGTCTCGGGTAGGCAGCTAGATCCAGAAGCATCCCAGGCAGGACGGAAAAGCAGGATATAGTTTAAGCAGCATCTACGGTAGACAGGAACCACAGCTGGATTGATCCAGTCATGGAGACGCCAGGGACGGGAGCCATGGAGAGAGAGGGAGGCAAGAGCTGACTCAGTGACCAACAAAACTGCCTGCTTGGCCACTGTGTAACCCAGGTTGGCTTTAAGGTGGTGGCAATCCTCCTGCCTCAGCCTTCTGAATGGTGAAATAATAGGTGTTTGCCATCATACCCAGTGTCTTAGTCACTGTTCTAGTTCTGTGAAGAGACACCATGACCAAGGCAATTCATAAAGTATGTAATGGAGCTGGCCTACAGTTTCAGAGGTTTAGTCCATTGTCATCATGGCAGCAGGCATGGTCCTGGTACACATGCAGAGAGAAGAGAACTGGGCCTGCCATGGGCTTTTTAAAACCCCAAAGCCTACCTCCAGGGACACACTTCCTCCAGCAAGACCACACCTCGTAATCTTTCTATTTTGTTCACGGGGTTCCACAGCCCTGGTGACTGACATTCAAATATATGAACCTGTGGGGTTATTCTCACTCAGACTGCCACACCTGGCTTGTTTTATAAAATTCATTCATTTCTTTATGTGCATGTAGGTGTGTGTGCATATATGTTGGTATACATATGAACACATGTATGTACAGTCCATGGGGGCCTGTCTTCATTGTCCACCTTCACTTGATGTGTGTGTGAATGCACATATATATGTGTGCTTGGCGTAACACTCTTGTGAAGATCAAGCAATGCCTTTTGGGACAGGGTTCCCTCCTCCCACCATGTGGGTTCCAGAGGTCAGGCTTGGGTCATCGGGCTTGGCATTGCCATCCTGCCAGCTCTCCAGCCTGTGTTTTGGAGACAGGGCCTCTTACTAGCCTATCAAGCCAGATTAGCTAGTCAGTTAACACCCCCCACCCCAGAAACCTCTGTCTCCACCTCCCCAGACCTAGGACTAGAGGCACATACTTATGAGGGTTTTGCCTGCAGGTATGTGCACTGTGTATGTGCCTAGTGCCCATGAAGGGAGATTCCTTAGAACCAGAGCTACAGATGGACCAGTGGTTGTAAACTGACAAGTGGAAGCGGGGAATCAAACCTCTAGACAATGTTCTCGACTGCTGAACTTTTCATTTCCGCCCCCATCCCACCTTTGAGATAGGATCTCACTATGTAGTCCTGGCTGGCCTGGAACTTGCTATGTAGCTCAATCAGGCTGGCTTCTAATTCACACAGAAATCCATCTGCCTGTGCCTCCAAAGTGTCTGGATTAAAAAGCATGTGGCATCATACCTGGCTATACCCAACTATTTTGAAATGGGTGCAAGGGCTTGAACTGAGATCTAAGCTGTCTTCAAAGCTATCCTTCTTTTTCAGAGACAGAGTCTCACTCTGTAGCCCAGGCTGTCCTAGAGATCTTGCCAACTCCTCTGCCTCAGTCTCCTGAGCGCGAGGACCATGGGCATGTGTCCCCATGCCCAGCCAGCGTGGCTCAACTTTATAACGTCTCGTGGGATGAGTTCTCATATGGCTCTCGATTATTCATGGGGAAACTGAGGCAAGGGGAGATCTAAGCATTTAATATATTCATGCAGTTGTGGCTGGAACTGGACACAGAAAAAACAAACAAAAAAATAGAGCTTATGAGTCGCGCTTGACGCATGCGTGGCATCCCAACACTGGGGAGGAAAAGGCAGGAGGTCAGATTTCAAGATTGTCTTGGCTAACGAGTGAGTTCAAGGACAGCATGGATTACTACATGAGACTGTAGAAAGAAAAGAATTGGGAAAGAGGGAGGCAGGAAGGAGAAAATGAAAAGAGGAAGAAAGGAAGAGAGAGGGAAGGAAGAGGAGCCCCTAAAGATGCCGAGTGCAGAGTGTGTGGCACTCCCGACGGTGGTCTGGGCTATCCCTGAATGTTAAATGGAGGCTCTACAGTCAGAACTCTGGGGGCGGAGGGTGACTCTGGGTGGCAGAAGGTGGCTGTGGTGGGAAGGGTGGTATCGAGTCACCCACAGCACAAATGCTAATAAAGTCAAAAATACACCAGGCCGGCTGAGTCAGCGCCAGCCGTGGGCAGGTGGCATGGTGGGGACACCTGGTGGTTGACAAGTGTTAAATATCATCCTCTGCCCTAGACATGCTAGCACAGGGCTGGGGCTTCAGCCAGCACATCACACAGACCAGAGCCCGCTGTCTCCCAGTGTCACTGCCCCAGGGATGGATATCAGCCACTGCGGGACAGCCAGCTACCCCTAACTGTCCAGTCAGACTGATTACGTGCCTCGAAAGCTGATATTCTACAGCCACATTTTCTGAGTGGACAAACTGTGGCTCTGATGATTGTATGCCCCATCCCGTTAATTCATTTAAGCATGACTGGGGTGAATGGCTGCCATATGGAATGTCACTGCTCTCGGGCAAGATGGACACAAAAAGCAGTAAGGATGAAAAGGAACCTGGCAGGGCTGGTGAGAGGGAGGACTCAGTGGATAAGTGTGCTTGCTGCTGAGCCCGAGGGCGTGAGTTCAAGCCACAAGACACACAAAGTGACAAAGAGAATTAACTCTTTCATCTTGTCGTCTGGTCCCTGGGTGAACCAGTCTGGTCTGGCCTGGGAGAGGACTTTGCCCTGAGCAGGGCGTCCCACAGACAGAGTGGTAAGGTCTTTAACACAAAGCGTACCACCCATTCATTGTGGAGGCGACTCCACACACAAGGACCAAGTTCTGGATTCTATGAAAGATGCCTCACACTGCCTGTCATCCCACAGATCCCACAGATCCCTGCGAGAACAACCCCTGCCTGCACGGGGGCACCTGCCACACCAACGGCACCGTATACGGCTGTAGTTGTGACCAGGGCTATGCTGGGGAGAATTGTGAAATTGGTAAGTGTCCCAGCCCAGAGCACTGTCCTGTCCCTTGTGAGTCTAGGTGAAACAACTGAGATTATCTGAGTACAACCGAGCTTGCTGAGCTGCTCCATCCCAGGGGACTAGCTCAGGAGAGCCATTTCCCACCATATTAGGGGTTGGGGTGGAGGAACAAGGAAAGGATCAGATGCTCTCCAGCAAGCGAAGGGTTGTGGGAGACTACCTTCATCCAGATGCACAGTCGTGTGGGTACCACTCACATTGCTAAATATGAGATTACATTAAATATAAATGGTGTAAAATAAAAATAAATACATCTAATCTGGGCTTAGCTAATTCCAGTTGCGTGCAATCCAACGCCTTCTTCTGGCCTCTTCAGGCAATGCATAGAAATGGTACCACAGACATATATGCAAACAAAACATAGCCAACCATGCTGGTGCTGGGAATTGAACCTGGGTCCTCTGGATCTTAACCTTTGAGCCATCTCTCCAGGCCCTATGGTGTAATTTCTTGATCATCCTTTGCTTGACTTGACAACCACACTAGGAGTTATAAAATCATAAGTGACAATAGAAATGAAGGCAAGGCATGGCGGCACATGCCTTAAACCTCAGCACTCAGGAGGCAAAGGCTTGTGGATTTCTATGAGTCTGAGGCCAGCCTGGTCTACATAGCATGTTCCAGGATATCCAGGGCTACATATAGAGAGATCCTTTCTCCAAAACAAAACAAACTCACACAAAACAAATAAATATCTTTTAAAAAATATTGTATTTTAAAAATCCAAATGAGTGAAAACTGAGTAACAACACCCAAGATTGACCTTTGGCCTCTCATAGATGCACTATGTGCACACCTACACACTCATACACAGTCTCACACACTCACATACACACACACACACACTCACACACAGTCTCACACACTCACACACACTCATACACAGTCTCACATTCACACACACTCATACACAGTCTCACACACTCACACACTCATACACAGTCTCACACTCACACACACACACTCATACAGAGTCTCACACACTCACACACACACTCATACACAGTCACACATACACTCACACACACACTCATACACAGTCTCACACATACACTCACACACACACACTCATACACAGTCTCACACACTCACACACACTCATACACAATCTCACACACTCACACACACACTCATACACAGTCACACATACACTCACACACACACTCATACACAGTCTCACACACTCACACACACACTCATACACAGTCTCACACATACACTCACACACACACTCATACACAGTCTCACACACTCACACATACACTCATACAGTCTCACACACTCACACACACTCATACACAGTCTTACACACTCACACACGCATACACAGTCACACACACTCATACACAGTCTCACACACTCACACACACACTCACACACATTCATACACACTCACACACTCATACATGATCACACACTCACACACACAGAGGCGGGTAGGAATTGTTTTAGGGTCAAAGCTTCTGGTTCTGTTTACAAATACTGCCAGAGGGGTCCTTGGGAGTAACGACTTTTGGGCTTCGGTACCCTGAGTGCCTAAGTGCCACTCCTCTACCCATGGCACCTGCTGTCATTCATGTTCACCAGTGTCATGGCCACAAAACAGTCCCCGTGGGCATCCAGGAGATGGTTGGAAGGACCTTGACCCATCTTCTCCCTGTGGGTAGGGATCTGAGTTGAGGCTGACCTCTGACCTCTCCCCATTGCACACCGCTCAGACATTGATGACTGCTTGTGCAGCCCTTGCGAGAATGGAGGCACCTGCATTGACGAGGTGAATGGTTTCATCTGCCTCTGCCTCCCCAGCTATGGGGGCAGCCTGTGCGAGAAGGGTGAGTCCCCGCCTGACACACATTCAAGTCTTGCCTGAGTCTGGCTGAGTCCCACAGGGTGTAAATTAGCTTTCTTTTATTGTTTATTTTATATACTTAAATTTTAAAATTATGTTTTAAAAACATGTATTTTGTGCATGGCACATAGCAGGTGGGGGTGGGGAGCATGCACGTGCCATGGCAACTGTGGAGACTGGGAAAGACGTTCAGGACTCAGCTCTCTCCTTTTACCATGTCCAGTCAGCTCCTCAGGCTTGGTAGCAATCACCCTTACCTACGGAGCTATCTTGCTGGCCCTATTTTATTTAAGATTTTTTTAATTAATGAATTTATTTTATGTGTATGGGTGTTGCAGCCACATGTCTATATGGGTGTCACGTGTGCTGTGGTAACCAGCCCTCTCATGCTCTCACGCTGCCCCCCAGACACAGAAGGCTGCGACCGCGGCTGGCACAAATTCCAGGGTCACTGCTACCGGTACTTTGCCCATCGGCGGGCCTGGGAGGATGCAGAAAGAGACTGCAGGCGTCGAGCTGGTCACCTGACAAGTGTCCACTCACCAGAAGAGCATAAGTTCATTAACAGTAAGGACAGGGTAGTGGCTGGGGTTGGAACTTGTCCTTTGACCAATGCACATGTTATCTTCCCAGCTCTTTGTCGGGCTTGTGACTGACAGGTAGGCAAGTGTGTCATCAGGAAGTGGCACTCATGGAGGCCAAGGAGCTTGACCATCAAGAATGTCGAAGTGGATAATATGTGACCTGATGCTTGCATTATTTTCATTTCATTGTATTATTCCATATTATTTTTAACACTCTAGGAATTGACAAAATAGAGTTGGGGGATGGAAGCTGAGGGGGACCTGGGTCTCTGCAGTGATGTAGGAGAGTGGAC